ATAGTCAGTCAGAGAGGTGCAGGCGGTCGACCACAAGTTCCTCTGAATCATTTTTAACGGTGTTCAAGGAAGCTTAGTTACTCAAAGCGGTTGATAACTATGACTGGAAAAGATCTCACGGATTCTGTTAGAGCACTAAACGTGAAGTATCCGTAAGCAGTGTGGAGTGACAACGTGGAAGGGATATTTTGTTGGACCATTTGAGTGGATCCGCAAAAGCACATATCAAGAACCTACCTATGGAAGGTCGAGTGATGTCCTTCAATGAAGTTGTTGAAGAGTTGCGGAAGGCCAAGAACACCCCGTGTGAAAGACTCAAAGCAGAGTCTGAATGGAAGAGCTTGAGAAAGCGCGAAGGGGAGTCAGTCTTTGACTTCTGCTGCAGACTGCAAAGCATCGCTAACAGAATGATGCCCGATCAGTGCATGGACTTCCAGATGGGAAGCAAGCTGTACGAGTGCCTCGCACATTGGCAAGATTCATATTATATGTTAGCAGCTTTGGATGCGCCGGAAGGGCATATTTTCGAAGAGGTCCGCAAAGTCGCGCTCAGACTGGAACGAACGCGCAGGCCTTCGCAGCCTGAACGCAGGAAACCGTGGACTGATCGTAAAGCAAAAGTAGATGTCGCGCCCACAGAGGAGCGCGGTGAAACCTCAGTTCAGAGCAAGAATACCAAGACGTGCTCCCAATGTGGAGAGCTGGGCCATTTCCAAAGGAACTGCCCGCAAAAACGTGAACAGGCGGGCAATGCCCGCAGGAAAGATATGGTGCGGCAGAGGAAGTTGCCAGCAAGTAGCACTAATGAGACACGAGCGGAACGCCCATCGTTTTCAACGCACCTCAAGACATGGTGCTACAACATTCGAAGAAGCCCGATGGCTGTCACAAAGGCATACGGAGAACCGTGCAAGTGTGATGTTGAAGTGCTCGGCCTAAAGGTAAACGCCCTGGTCGACACGGGTTCAGTCATATCAATAATATCAGTAGGGCTCCTCAAACTCGCACTAGACCAAGGAGTCGACGTGGATAAAGTAGTAACTATGTTGGGCGAAGCGGATAAGGACAAGGTCCTCGACGCATCGGGGAACCCGATGAAGTTTCTTATGAGGATAGCAGTGGACGTGAAGGTAAAAGGAGCAAACAGCGCTCGCGTGCAGCTACATGTCCAGCACACGCACGACACCTTCATACTTCTCGGAACAAACGCCATGAAGGCGCTAGGCATTGAGGTGATATTGAAGCCTGAGTCGAGCACTAAGCAGGAGATAGGGCGCGTAATAAACGAATTGGAATGGCACGAGCTCATTAGAGAGTCGTTATTCGCCAAAGACCTCATCCTTCGTGGAAAGATGGAGATGGCCGCGGAGAAGCCCACGCGCCTGAACAGATTTTCTGGTCAAATGACCACAGAATAGCCTCAGGAGTTTGTCGCATATCGTGTGGACGCAGTGCGATACCTGTAGTGAACAAGGCTACCGAGTCATGGGTAATCCCGAAGGGACAACCACTGGGAGAGTGGTCAAATGATCCTTGGTACGATCCAAAAGCCGTGGACATACCCGGCGATATGCTTGAAATGCAGCGGATACCGAAAAGGGAAGCTGCTGACGTAATCAAGATTCTCGAATGCAACAAGCGCACGGGTGTGTTCCCAGAACTCCTCAGAGACCTCATTCAGGAATATAAAGATGTGTTTGCGGTGTCGGATCTTGATTTGACCCAAACACACCTTATTAAGTACGATATTGACATACAAGGAAATTCTCCAGTGCGGCAAAAGACGCGCCCAGTCCCATACAGACTGCGGACTCAATTCAAGGAGATGCTTCAGGAGCTGGAGAAAAGAAATAAACTGGTGTGCAAAACTTAGGGACGAGATGGATAATGTAACATAAGACATTGAGGACTGGGTGGAAATAAATGAAAGTGTTTGAGTATATTGCCAAGCCCATGACGGTCATGCACGGGTAGCTGAACTTCCCTTCGTGGAGGAACAGTTCAAATAAAGCGGAAATATGGCTGCTCGCACAAATCGAATTAGTTGATAAGTACGAAAAGTTTTTTTGTCAATCAGCCAGTAGCTACCAAATACTGTGGTGGTATCCTTCTATACGTCATGTCCCGCAGACATCGTCTGGATGACTTGGAAACACGAAAAAGGTCGAACCATGCGGAGTGCAGCTCAGGAGCCTATTATTATTCGCAGCATTGTTTCACGTGCACGGAGAGCATTCCAAACCTCTGATACTGCTGCAGGAGAGGAGAGTAGGTGGACGACCAAGATCAACTACACTAAGGTATGACTGCTACGTTGTGCAGCAGGCAAGAAGAGATAAAGGTTAATCAGCTTCTGTGATTGAAATGTCATCTAGCAGGACTTCGAGGCAAGGCATCTCGCGCACTACAGTGGCACAACGACTGCACGGTTGCGGTCGATTCCCCTGACGACCACCTACTACGTTGTGTTCCTTTTACCCTCGTGCACCAGCGAGACCGTTTAGTGTGGTGCCAGGAGCATAGCGAATGGACCGATAAGAAATGGAGTCGTGTACTCTTTACGGATGAGAGCAGATTCAACCTGAGTAGTGATTTGAACTCACCCTTACATGGCAAGAGGTAGAGACACGTGACTCTCCCAGAAGCTGTCGAACGTGATCGTTTTGGTGGTCGAGGTGTACTGGTATGGAGAGCCATCATGCTGCATAGCCGTACTGACCTCCAGACTCTTGACCGTGGAACCCTTACCAGTCAGTGTTGCTGTGACGAGGTGCCCGTTCCCTATGTGTGTCTTTTCAAGGCTGCAGTGGGTACTGGATTCATTTTTATGGATGACAGCGTGCAACCGTATCAGACAGCACATGTGGAGGAGCTCTTTGCACAAGAGCATATTTGGCGGATGGAGTGGCCTGCCGATTCCCCCTACCTAAATCCCATGGTGCATTTGTAGGATGCACTGGGTAGACTCGTTGCAGCGCGTTTAAATGCGCCAGTGACCATCTAACAATTGATAATCGAGCCGACTGAGGAGCGAAACGTCTTACCACAGGAACTCATCACCAACCCCGTGGAAAGTATGGGATCGCGTTGCAGAGCATTTATTGATGTCCGTGGTGATAATACACCCCATTGGAGACCGTGTCGCTTTATTTGAAGTGCTAGGATCAATTGTGAGGAACTATGTGCAATCGCTACCTATGAATAAAAATGTCTTATCTGCTCGTCTTATCTCAATTTTATAATCATTTGCTTCCTGTGCCAAACCGTAATGATCCTCCGTCGACATGGTGTGAATTTCATCGAGCTCTGTCGTCTGGCAGAGGTACAGTAATCGAAAGTTGTTTTCGTTCCTAACTTCTGCACACCAGTGTATTATCGAAGCTAGGCTTCCCCAATCGTCTTGGTTGCCAAGAAAGATGGCACTATCCGCTTGTGCGTGGACTACAGGGAGGTCAATAAGCTGACGAAGAAGGATTCGTATCCACTCCCTGCTATCGATGTAACGTTGCAGAACCTCAAAGGCAAGAGATTTTTCACATCTTTGGATCTAGCCAGTGGCTACTGGCAGATACCACTAACGGATACAGCGAAACAGATCAGTGCATTCACAACAACGGCTGGCCTTTATCAGTTCCGAGTACTCCCGTTCGGCCTGACTACTGCTCCTTCTGTCTTCCAAAGACTGATGGAGAAGGTTCTCGGTAACCTGTTAGGAGCGGAAGTCTCCGTCTACATCGATGACATCTTGATAGCAACTGACTCGATGGAACGGCACATTGAAGTCCTAGCAAAAGTACTCCAGGCCTTCAGAGAGGCCAATCTGAAAATCAAGCCGCAAAAGTGCCGTTTACTGGAAACACAAGTCGCATTCTTGGGCCATGTAATTGATGCAGAGGGCGTCAAGACGGACCCAGACAAAATTGTACGAATCGCTAAGTTCCCGAGGCCATCCAATCTGCCAGAACTGCGAACTTTTCTGGGCATGGCTGGATACTACAGGAAATTCGTCCTCAGATTCGCACAGACGGCTCGGCCATTGTATGCGCTGACTAGCCCGAAAGCCAAGTTCGAATGGGGGCTAGAACAGGAGACAGCCTTTGAGTTGCTCAAAGAGCTGCTTACAAAAGCGCCAGTGCTCGCGCAACCACACATTAATTGAAAAAGCACGTGAAGGAACGAGACCGTTCTTCATCTATACTGATGCTAGCCAAGTCGGAGTTGGGGCAGTGCTAGCCCAGGAGCAAGAGGATGGTTTCTTACATCCCGTTTATTTTGCATCAAAGCCGTTGTCAAAAGCTGAGCGAAACTATCACGTTACAGACCAGGAAGGATTAGCGGTTGTATACGCACTCAAAAAGTTTCACTATTTCATTTACGGAGTTCGCACTATAGTCAGGACGGACCATGCGCCGCTACGTTCTTGTTCAAACGAACAAACGTTTCCACCTCGAATCATTAGGGGGCAGTGAAGGTATGATCTCGCAATAGAGCATGTTAAAGGAGTGGCGAATCGTGTCGCTGACGCTCTTTCTCGTGGAGTCGCCAACTACAGTGAGGAAGTTCCACCAACTCATGACGAAAATGAAAAAATTGTTTGCTCGGTAGGATCAGCTACTTAGCTGGATGAGCCCAAGCAGGATAATGATTTCACGCCCGTAATCGAAGATGTCGAAAACAGTACAAAGGTAGAGGTGCGACACGAAAAGAGGCTGAGCACGAAAGATTTTCGAACGTTGAAAGCTATTTACAGCTCGTTCGCGAGGGTGGTACATCGGTAACGGTAGTGCCGGAAGGGTACAGGCGTGAGGTATTTGACTCAAACCATAGTGGTACTTTAGGTGGACATTTCTGCGCTAAACGGATGTTAACGCAGCTGAAACAGTCTTTCTATTTGCCAGGAATGAAACAGGATTTGCAGAAGTGTTGCAAACAGTGCCAAAGTTCCTTTCTGGC